CTGTTGTGGCCACCTTGGAAAATCCCATCTGCCAGAGCCTCCCACAGGTGTCTTCTCCACTCTCCCAGCCTGCTTGGGCCATGTGTCTGGCACTAAGCTGATGGCAAGGCCAGCAGATGAGACATGCATCACGGCTGGAGCGGGGTAGGTCCAGCTCTCCCCAGAGTGTCTGGGCTGTGGGAGAGGTGTGGATTCCACACGAAACCCCAGAGAAGGGGGAGGGGCCGCTCGGGACCTGGTCCCAGGGTCCCCTATGGCCTCTATTCACAGAGCACTTGCTACGTGGCAGGGGCTGTGCTAGATGCTTCCTACTCACTCACTCAGTTGCCTCTCATCATGACTCAGTGAGACAGGTGTGATCCTTCTCCCCCACCTCACAGAAACAGGTTTGTATTAATAACTTGTCCAAGGTCATAGGCCAGAAAACAGTGCATACAGAGGGAAAGGTCAGATCTATATGACTCTGAGTCTACACCACTAACCACTCCACAGCAAAGTTCAGGGCTTCTGGTCTGTGGCTGAAGAAAGCAACTTGAACGTGGTAGCGTGTAACCTGGTTGCACTGGCAGCTATTTTGTGAGCATGAGGTGATGCAGGGTGAGAAAGCAGCAGGTGCACAGAGGAGGGGAGAACCTTGATCAGGTTCACACATCAACACCTGCCCTCCCTGGGGTCTCTTCAGCTAAGTGAGCTACTACTTCATTGCTGTTTAAAGACCGTGTGAGTTTGTGCACGGTGACGTCTACTTGACAGTCTCTCTCCCAATGCAGAGGCTGTTGTAATGTCTTTCCTATTTCATCATAGCGATTGTCTGCATGTCTGTGTGCTTGGTTAGACAACAGATTTCTCAGGAGCGGGGACAACATCTCCTGTGCTTCTCCATCCCCAGGGCCTGGCACAGTGGGTGACACTGCATTTTTTTTTACAAAGCTCATACTTGGAGAAAAAACAATTGAGAAAGGGTATGGCTGTGCACCTAGCATTTTTAGGTGCCTATATTGTAAAGCATGCTCTCTTCTTTGATTCCACGCAGGGTGGTGCTCCTTCACTTGTTTTTAAAACCCAGATGCAAACACTCACGTTTGCAGTTGAGTCCCCTAGGAAGTGCCTTTGGCGCAAGGTGGGAAGAGCGGCCAGGACCTCTTTACCCGCCGCCCCCACCCCCACCCCACGCTTGGTGCTTAAAGCCTCTTCAGACTTCCACAGCCCAGAGGAGACTTGTCACTGGCCGGCCACCACTTCCCTCAGGTCCCTTGGCAGAAATGGCAATAGAGAGACTCTCTAGAACCTTCATGGGATGCAGGAATGGGGCTGGAGGGAGGGGAGCCTCCGTGCCTGGATGTTATCAGCAGGTCTCATGGTCCTGAACTTCTCCTCATTAGCAAAAGCCTGCAGCCCAAGACCTGCAGCCATTCTTGTTTCCTTTCTCCAAGGTCAACTTTCACGTGTCCCATTTCCTCCCACTCGCCCGGCCCCATCCCGGAGCTTTGGCTCCTGAAGCTTCCCCGAGTGAGATAAGGCAGCCTCGGAGGACAACACAGGCGTGTTCTGAGGCCGCCTCCGCCCCGCCAGCCCGGCCTCCTGCTCTCGGCCCCCGGCGCACCCTGGTCGCAGGGCGTGGGTGCTCAGGGCCTGTCCCTGGGGACCCCAGCACTCCCTTCAGAACCAGCTGGCTGGAGCCAAGTCCAAAGGCGAGTCCCAGAAGGGTGGCCACCTGTCTTCACCCACCTGGGAGATGAGCCAGCTCAGGAAAATGCAGCGGTCTTTTCCAGAAAACAAGATTTCTGCAAATGACGGGACCGCCCCTTGCCCTGACATTGCGTCTCTCTTTGGTCTGCGTCCCACTGCAAATAAAACTCGAACCCAACAGGCTTAGGCAAGAAGAATGTTTTCAAAACCTCACCCAGCAGGAAGCCCAGAGGGGCCGAGTTCCAGGGTGTGTTCGTTCAGGACACGGTGTTGTGTCGCAGCGGTTTCCTCGCTCGCTGCCCGCTGCTAGAATCCGCATCGCTGGACGTTTCCTCACTACCCTGACGACAGCCGCAGGGAGAACCTGTCTTGGTGCCAGTCTGTGCTTTGGTCATATTTGGGGTTGCTTCCTCAGGATGGGAATGAGATTATTGGATCAAACTCCAGGTATTGCTCAAGATGTTGAGCGACTGAGACAGACACCTGGTAACTTTTTCCCTGAGACAGTCACCCCGATACAGATAAACACAGACGAACTGTTGGCAAGAATTTAGAAGTTGAACCAAACCGAGCAGTGACCGCGTTTTCTTTATAAATAAAATTGTTTTTGCAAAAATGACCAGACAGGGCTTTGGCAAACAGGGGTGCGTGTTTGGGACAGTCTGAGCTGAAATAGAAGCCTGGCACAGTGAGTCCCCAGGGCTGGAAGCCAGGAGAGCGGTTACCTCCACGCAGGGGAGTGGCTGGGAGAGACACGGCGGAGGTAGCATCCAGGTACCGGCGACGTCCCCTTTCTTGCCTGGATAGGCAGTCACCAGGGCACGGCCCCCTTGCAGAGAGGCATCAAGCTCTCCCCTTAATGCTCGTGCACATCTCTGTATGATGTTGAACTCGAATAAAAACTGTTCCTCGATACTTAGCCGGGCCGGTGGGTCCCTGATGCTCACTGTAAGGGGTGGGACAGAGACCACCGCCCATCTCCTCCCACGAAGCCGACGCCCATGCGAGGATGTGGGCAAGGCCTGCAGAGTCACCTGTCCGGAGGGAGGGGTCACAAGCTATCACACCTGCCAAGACGCCCCAGCCAAAGGGAACCAGCAGAGGGTTTGGGTCTGGGCTCCGAAGTCTCCAGGCCGCCACGCTGATTGCAGGTGAGCTCGTGGGTTCCACGTGCACACGGCCAAGGGGCGTCGGGCTGTCTGGCCCTGGGCGGTGACGCTCCTGAGCCCGCGCTGGGGAGGCCAATTATCTAGGGACACACAGGAGAAGGGCTTTTCTGTGACCCTTCCCCTGGGACTTGGGCCGGCCCTGGGACTCTCCCTGATGTCACTGCCTTTTAGAGGTGGTCACACCTCGTCTAAGACTTGCCACTGTCACACCAATCTTCCGTGGATGCCTGGATGTGGCAAAGTCTTCCAAGGTGTCAGGGCCACCAGGGCAGGGGCCCCGTGCCCCAAGCCACCCTCTGCTCCCTCACAGCCAGCAAAGCAGCACAGTATTTCACGATGTGGGTGCAGGTTAGGACACTGAGGGGCCTTCCTGGCCGTGGGTCTGCAGGACCCCCCCCCTTGTGCTTCCTGCACATGGACAGACCCCCCGGCGGTGCCTGGCCCGGCTCTTTCTCCGGCACGGCACGGGGTCTTAAACAAATGGAGGGCGTCGGTGGCCTGGGCGGGAGGACCCAGACCCAGCCTCGTGTCTCTCGGCTGCCTGTGTTCTCTCGTGATCCAGAAACAAAGGTTCTCTGTCCCTCTCCTGTGTGGGAGGGCCGCCGCTGGCCTGGCAGGACCCCAGCCGGAGGGGCAGGGCCGCCTGGCACTGACAGCCTGAGGCCACTGAAGACCCTGACGCCTCCCAGGGGCAAGACCACGTCTGGAGGACACTGCCCAAGCTGGCTCCTGGTGACCCTTTCGGAGCCAATGTCACCGGGAAGGAGACCCCGAGCACACGAGGGAGGCGAGGTGGGCGGAGCACAGGAGGGTGCAGGGCAGCGTGTCTGCTCCACGTGGGGAGAGCGGAGCCGCACGTCAACCTGGCCACCTGGGTGGGTGACCGCGTGTCCGTGCCCACTCAACTGGAACAACTGGATCCCGCCAACACCAGATATTAGCGGCAGGGACCAGGCAGGGCTGGGGATGCACGAGAACTCTCTGCACTGTCTGTCCTGTTTCCTATAAACTAAAACTGTCCTAAAAACTAAAGTCTAGCCATTAACAATGAATAGTAATTTTCAATGTGATTGGAATACCCAATGAAACCTTTTCACGAAGGCATTGCATTCAAAATTCTCAGCAAAACATCCCTCTTCCCCCGACTTGCCTTGCACCAAGCCCGCAGCTGCTGCCCCAGGGCCCCGCCCCTCCCGCAGCGCCCCCCAAACCGTCCACCCGCCATCCCAGCCGACTCGCCCGGCTCCCGTCCCTTCCCCCTTCCCGCTCGTCTTCCGGGTGGCTTTAATTTTGTTTGCTCTTTTGCCAGCAAATCCAGGCCTCATCCAGCCCCAGCGGGGGAAGCTCTCCTCACCTCCTCCTGGCCTCGCCCCCACCCACGACGCCCACTCAGACAACCCGGGTCGGGGGGCAGGGGCGGCAGAAAACACTCCTCTTGGAGTGTCCGAGAGGGGTGGTGGTGACGCCGTGGGAGCCACTTCATTCTGCCTCGGTTCTCACTGGTTAGATCACGACAGGCGCGCTTGGATCTTGCAGCCATGGCTTAGAAACGGGAAGGATGAAACGTCTTGGGCAGGAAACATGCAGGGAATCCAGGAGGCAGAGGCCGGTCCCCTGCAGGGGGGTGGAACATTTTAACCATCTACAGGCTCCGGCCTCCCAAGTTCATTGTCCTGGAAGCCAAAGGCTGAGCCTTCCACAGTCTCTCCTGTTCACAGTGTCCTGCCACGGCCACAGAGGGGTCCCTGTCTGTCCTGGCACGCTCTGGAAGTAAAAGTGGGGGCGCCGGGCTCCCAAGTGTGGGGCCCTCCGTGGTGGCTGCCATGTTCTCTGGCTCCTGCCTGCTCTGGCCGGGTTCATGCCTCACCCCCGGGCAAGCCGCCCCTCCACCTGCTCAGTTTCTTGTCCCTGACACTCCAAGCTCAACCCAGCTGTCGAGTCCCAAATTCACATTTCTTTCTTTCTTTTTTAAATAGCTATATGGAGATATAATCGACAGACCGTACAATTCAGTGGTTTTTAACATACTCGAGGAGCTGTGCACCACCGCCACAGTCAGCTTCAGAACCGTCACCTCAAAGCGAAGCGTCGCGCCCTGCAGCCGTCAGCCTCCTACCTCCCCAACCCCATCCTCCCCCCGCCCCCGGGACCCCAGCTCTAAGCCAGCGCTCATCTACTTTCCGTCTCTTTGGACTGTCACATAAACGGAATCGTGCCGTGCTCCGTGCCCGGCCTCTCTCACTCAGCAAAACCTTTCCAAGGGTCAGCCACACGTGGGGGCACGCTTCAGCGCTTCCTTCTTTTTTATGGCCAAATAATATTCCTTTGCACGGACACACCACGCTTTATCCGTCCGTCAGTTAATGGACGTGTGGGTCGTTTCCACTTCTTGGTGTGGCAGATGGCCATTCCCTTTGCAGCCTTTTCCAAGCGCTAGGTCTGTGCCTCTCGCACTAGCTGCGCAAGTGCTACCAACCCCCCTGCCACACCCGCTCTGCACCAGGCCCCACGCCGAATGTGGTGACGGACGGAACTCTCCCCACACCCTGACGCGGGGATCACGGTCCCACTCTGTGGATAAGGAAGCCCCAGTCCAGGGAAGCAAAGAGACTGGCCAAGGTCACGGGGAAATGGGACTTACACCCAGGCCTGCCCTGCTGCCGCTAACCCCTCCTGCTGCGTTTATGGCATTTTTGAAATTCAGCCCCTTTTCCATTGGGTTTTTCATATTTTGGGGTCTCCTGCAGATCATAAGCTTCTTCAGGGGAAGATGCTGTGTCTCATGGTTTTTCAGTCTTCGACACATCACGCTGTCCCTGCCACTCACACTTACGGGGCTCCTGTGGGCTTGCAGCCGGGAGGGAAGGGGTACGGGGATGGGGTGGACCGTGCCCTCTGCCCATCCCGCATCCCTTCCCCTGCCTCCTGGCTGCAGGACGACCATGTGGCTCAGACATGGCCAATCAAAGTTCTCAATCCTGCTGGCCACAGGGATTGGCCCAAGTTTGGGCACAGGATCCAAGCCTGGCCAATCAGAGCCTTCCTCAGGTACTTTCCATGGCAACGGCGGCCGAGGACACCTGCTTGCTCTTTGGGACTGGGAGCGGTAAGGGCCGCAAGCTGGGAGCTGCTGTTGGCAGCCCCCTTCCGCCTCCGGGAGAGAACCATGCAGATGCTGTCAGTGGTATTGCAGGAAAACGTTCAATGCCGTGGAAAGATGTTTACGATAACTTCATGAGCCTGTAGCACAAAGCTGCAAATGAGGACCTACTATCTCACTGGCTATATATGTGTCCATAGATATGAAAATATATACATATAATCATGTACAAATAAAAGGTATGTGCCAAAATATTAACAGGGATCCCCTCGAATTATGTGAGTACCAGTTACATTTTTTCCTTTTGGTGTGTCTGAACTTTCTGAAATCAGAGGGCAGTCTGCGCTTTTCAGAAGAGTTTGTCGCTGTCCTGTTTATTTTGAGCCAGAGCCCCCGCACCCCCCTCGAGAAGTCATTTCTACCACCTGCCTCTTGGGGAGCATTCAGGCTCAGCCCGAGATCCCTCCTCTGCCCTTTTAGACACACACTTTCCCCACAACTCCGTTTCCAGCCGGGGTCCCGGGCCTTTCCCACCCCAGGCTGCTCTGTTCACCTGCCCTGTCTCAGCCGCCAGGACCTGCAGTCTCGGCGTGGCCGGAATGCCACCACCCCTGAGCGTCTTCCGGACTCTTGGAGAAAGCCAGGCCTCACTCCCACTCTGCCCGACTCATCCTGCTGGGTACTGGATTTTCATTGTCAGCTCACAAGGAACCTCCAAAAAATCTTTTCTTTGGCAGCCAAGGTAAGAGTGGCACATCTTCCAGTCAACGTCCAAGCCTGGAGCAGCTACTGCCCAGGGACAAGACCAGAACCCTTAACTCACCGGCCTTAAATAGTGCTCTTCCCCTCTCCCATCGGGGCAGAGAGACCATAGGCCTGGGGGGTGGGGCCCCGCAGGACCCTCTGGCAGACAGACCCTCTCTCGAGCTGGTGGGCACGTGGCTGTCGTGCCAGGGCTGTGAGAGACCCTCCAGAGGCCCAGCCCCTGGCCGCCGCCCCCTACCCCAGGGTGAGAGGTTCCAAGGTGCAAAGATCTCACAGGCAGGCAGTCAAGGGCCCAGCGGTGCCCACCCGTGGGGCGTTCCGTACGGTCCCTCACTGTCCTCCCAACAGAGAGGCACCTGTTCCCACTCTTGCGGCCCTTGCCTTCAGACCCCGGGCCCTGACTGCCCAGTTGGTGCCAGTGGCCACCGCCAGGGAGCCAGGTGTGGGTAGTCACCTGGCCCGTGCTGGCCCGGTCGGATCCTCACTCAGGAGAACGTGACCCCAGAGAAGACAAAACTAGATGGGGGTGTTGGGACCAAAAGGTTGGCAGAGCTGGGGACAGAGCAGTCCCGCCGCCATGGACCTGCAGAGAGCGCATGGGGGAAACAGAGGCAGAGAGGAAACTGGGTGCAGATGAGCCTCGCAGGGCCGTGAGAGGAGCAAGAGGACAAAGTCGCCCGGGGACTCTCTATCTCTTGCCTGTCAGTTACGTGACATTCCCGTGTCCTTTGAAAAAAAAAAAAAAACACTTTTCCTAAACCGACTCCTCTGGGTGTCTGTCCCTTACGGTCAAAGATCTGGACTGGGTCACACTGAGGGCACCTGTCTGCAGGTAGGAGGATCGGTCCTCACTTGCCTCCAGGTGAAGGGAGTCACCTCCCCCTTCTCAGTCCTCCCCCCTCCCGCAGGCTGGAAGCCACATTGCCGCCGGCCCCCCAGGGTTGGGTTCCTGCAGAGGAGCTTCCCGGGAACACGCATGTCACACCTGTCCCAGCTCCCGCATCGGGGGAGGGGCCCCGGCACAGACTCCGTTCAGATCACGGCCAGACCTCGCTGGTCGGTGGTGGCCCGGTGGACGCTGATAAGGGTGTTCCTGGGTGTGCCTGCGGGTGGCGACAGGGCGCGGGGTCTGGCGTCTGGGGTTTGGGTTGGAATCCTGGGTTCCTGGCTATGCCGCCTGCCTTGTTCCTCGGCCCCTTCGTGGCCAACATCCCAAGGACTTGCCGAGGGCTGGGCGCTGCCCTGTGAGCTCCTCGGACAGGAACTGGCAGGGTCCCATCCTGCAAAGAAGGGAGGAGAGACTGACGGGGTTAACCGGGCAGGCACAGGTCACAGCCACGGGGACAAGAGATCAACCCTCCTCTATCTGATCCTCAGGCCCACGTAGCTGCATCCCACCGTCCTTCCTCCACCTCGTGACATGGTGAGGACTGGAAGCGGCATGCCACAACCAGCAGGCGGCAAGAATATTCCAGATGTTTCCCCTCACCCACCCAGGGGACTTCCCGGCTCCTGAGAAGTCACAGGCCTCCGCTGTGGTGGCCGGGCGTCCCTCGAGTCCAACAGAGGGATCGGGAAGGGGAAATGCAGGGTGTTGCGGGGCTGCCCCACAGTGATCCCTTTAGGCCTGAAGACATCCGAGGGGTGCGTTTGCACGGATGGACGGACGGGGAGAAGGTGCATCTCGCGGAGCGTGAGCATTCCGACGGGAATGTTGGGAAGCCGGTTTTGGCCCGAGAGGAGAGGAAAGTCTCACGCTAAGATAAACCCTGGCAGAGCGAAGTCGGCGTGCTTCTCCTCCGCCCACCAGAAGGGAAGGTGTGCCTTCGTTACGAACGGGAAGATTTCCTCCCCGTATCCGCGCATGGACGGCCCGTCCGGGATCTGCTTCCGACATCCGCGGGCCGGCTGGTGTGGATGAAACGAGATTGGACGAGTTGATGGTTTTCGACACTGGGCACCGGTACATGGGTGAGCCTTGCGCAGTCCTCTGTCCTTATAAACATGCCTGAAATTTCTCATAAAGAGTTTTCTTTTTTTTTTAAGTAGCAGTTAGGAACCCGGCCAGACGGGAGGAGCAACCCCACCACAGCCGCCCCCACGGCACGGAGTCCCTGAGCGTGACAAGGACGAGCCCGGAGCCTCCCACCGACCACTCCGCCCCCCACCCCGCTCCCTGTTGACGTCGGGGCCATCGGAGAACCCTCGGCTCTGAGTAATAAACGCGCCGCTCGGCGGGAACATGTGTTTCCAATCATCCTGCTCAGCGGTGAGTCACCACCAAGAGCTGCTGCCCCGTCCCGCCACTCACCTTCAGCCCCGCCACGCTGACAGCCCGGGCGGCCCTGCCCCCTCCTGGCCCCGCACTCAGCCAGCCGGCCCCCCCAGGAGCCTAAGGTGTCCTCCCACCTGTGGGCCTTCGAGCACTCGCCCTTCCATCCGGAACGGAGCCCGCCCCTTTGTCCGGGTCACTCCGACCCAAGCTCCGGGTCCCACTGGAGGTGTCATTTATCCCAGGCAGCCTCTGGACCCCCCGCCCTGCCTCACAGACAGGCAGTCAAGGGCCCAGCCGTGCCCACCCGTTGCCCTTGGTACCAGCCACCTCACCCGCGTGCCCTGCCATTGCCCCTTTGTCTGTTTTTCCTGCCGGAGGGTGGTTTGTGCCGTAGGGGGAAGCGGCCACCTTTTCCGTCTGTATCCCCAGCTCCTGCCCAGCTCTGACCCATGGCTGGCGCCCAATAAATACCTGTTGAATGAATGAATGAAAGGAATGAACGAAGGGACAATCTGTGACCTTAAGAAGCGCACAGTCAAGGGGGTGGACAGACATGAGAACAAGGGCCCCGTGAGATAACAGAGAGAAGGGAGGCAGTGCCGGTCTCGGCCCCTGTTAGGGTGGCTCCGTCTCCCCGAAGCCCGGCTGGCACCTCCCCGAGACCTTCGGCTGGCCAGAGCGCAGTGAGGAGGGGCGTGAGGCCACATCCAGGCCCAGCGGGGAAGGAGTGAGGAGTCCAGAGGAAACAGGTGTCTGCCGGGGAGGGGTGGCTGTGGCTACCTGTCATCAGCGAGGCCCCTCCTCCCCCCAGGGGCAGAACCACAGCCCTACAGCACAGGCAGCAGCGACGGGAACACAGAGCATCCTTCACCCCTGCAGGGAGCCCAGCCCAGCTCAGGTGCTGGGGGATGTCACCTGCCCAGGCCTCCACGGCAACACAGCTCCGCAGTCAGGTGACAGTTTGGGAGCCAGGGAAAGCAGGGACCCCTGAGTGGTGACAAGCCGTTGGGCCAGAGGACACCAGGACAGAGCCAGGTGACCAGTCGTGCAGGAAGAAGAGGGGCATCGTGACGTGGGTGGGACCGTTCACAGGGTCCCACTGCCACCCAGGGGCTGGGGAGGGTTTCAGCAGGTGAGCCACTGCCCGGGCCGTGGGGCCGCTCCGTGCCTTTGGAGCCGGCCCGCTCTCTCATGGCTGAGAGGAGGGGTGGCATGCCCAGGAGTCAACGAGCCAGACGAAAGCTCCAGAAACCAGCAGGAGACGGAGACGGCGGGGGGGGGGGGACCTGACGTGTCACTGTCCAAGAAGCCCAGCTCCCCTCGCCCTCCCTCCTCCTGGCTCTTGTCGTTGGAGCCAGAGACACCCAGAGCTGCTCCTCCTGCTGCCTGGCATCGCAGCTCAAGTCTCAGTGGGGGCCTTCAGAATGCCACCCGCACTCCCACCCCACGCTCCCCTGGAGTCCAGGGACTGAGACCCCTTCCGTGCCCCCTGCAGCTGGCTCCAGGGGGAGGGAGGCAGGGCTTGAATCTGAAGGTAGCAAGAGTCCCGCCAAGACCCAGTGTGCCATCGGCCGCAGAAATGACATCACCGGGAACCTGGAGCATCCCCAGGGGAGGCAGGAAGAGGCAAAGGCAAGGCAGAGTGTAGAAAGAAAAACAGGATGGGGAGAGGGCAGGGGAGAGAGAGGAAATGCTTGGGCACAGACCTAATCATAGCCTTGAATGAGATTTACTGCTGCACTCAGCAGGGACGGCCGCCAGCCCCGCCAAGCCAGCCTTCCTCCTGTTTGGAGAGGTGATGACATCATGGCCATGGGCCGTCACTCCCCAACACCAAAGGAAGAGGAGGAAGGTGGCAGGCGGGAAACCTGAGCCTCTCCGGGCCACGTTTCCAGGCAAGGGAATCTGAAACCGGGAACAGTCAGGCCGGACAAGGCCTGCCACGCCGGGCAGCGTCTCTCCCGGGATGCGGGAGCACCAGGTTCTCGTCTCTGCTCCCTGGCCCTGGTCCCCACCCCGCCCATGAGAGGAAGCACATGACCACATGCCCAGGGCCAAGAGGAAACGGGCGGGCACGAGGAAGCAGGAGCGGCAGGCCTGAAAGGGATCCGCCAGCTCTGAGATTCCGCCTTGTTCCTCCCAGGAATGTGTCCCCCGGAGGACCCAGGAGAGCCCGGAGCCACGGGCGGGCTTGGGAGGTGGCCAGGCCGGGAAGGGGGAGGTGGGGAAGGCAGGCCAAGCCCAGGGGTGCAGAGTCTGCGGAGTCCTTGGCGGCAGGAGCCTCGCTCCCGGAGACCCCCTCACTCCCGCAAGGAGGCCCAAGGGCCCTGCCTAGACTTGCCCCTCGGGGTCGGGGACCTTCTGAGTCAAAGAGGAGGGGAAACCAGGCCATGGGGCGGAGAGGCACTGCTGTTTCAGAGTCCATGTGCTATGAGGTCCCCAAAGGCTTCCCAGCCCAGAGTTCCCCCGTGCGGTACCAGGGCCACCTCCCTGGAGGAGGGTTTATGTGCCTTCAGTCTGGGACGCTGCTCGGAGTAGTGCAGATGTGGCAGTCTCCTAGAGCCGAGGACGTCACGGGCTTCCAGCCCGCCCCAGGATGCCCTCTCTGCCACTCTCTCCTCCACTCTTCCCGGAGTCACTGGAGACTGGATCACAGCAGCGGGGGCTTGGGGCTGCTGCTGGGGGCCGCAGGGGCTGGAATCGGGCGGCTTTGCCCCGAGGGCTGCCTGCCTGGGGGGCGGGGAGGCAGGGTATCAGGAGATGGGGTGGGGGCGGGGGCCAGGTCCCCACCTCCTTAAAGATGCCCTGTGGGATGGCAATGGACTTGGCAAAGGAAAACGTGAGGGAGGTGAGAGCCAAGGCGGCTAGTGGGTGGCGCAGGGTCATTTGAAAGTGAACCCGGCAGCTGTGGCCAGGAAGGCTCCCATGGCGTTATGCAGAGAGTGTGGGGAAATGCCCGGGTCTCTGCCCCCGCGGGGCTGTCCAGTTCAGCACTGAAGCCTCACCTGACCACTGCTCTCCCGGCACACGGAGCAGGGCAGGTCCATCTTTCACCTAAGCCCCCCACCCACCCAGCCGCTCCCCACAGACGTTTCCAGGAACACCTTTGTGTGCACCTGTCCAGATCCACCCATGTGTTCCACTTCACATGCATGAAGTCGTGTGCATGCTGTTTAATCATGGACGCCTTTCAAAAAGAATCTTCCTGTGTTCCCTGCCTCCCTCTGTCCCCCGACACCCACGTCACAGCTCGGTGTGTGACGCCACCGTCCTCCAGGTTACAGACATGTGCATCGTCGAAGGCTCTGCCAGATGGAACCTTGTCGTTGCTGTGCCTCTGCATCTTGCTTTGCTCAGGACCAACATTTTTATCAGTTTCTTTAAGTGAGTTGTTCTCAACCAGGGCGACTGCGCAATGTCCAGGGACCTTCTTGGTTGTAGAGGTTGTGTGTAGAGGGTGCTACTGGCCTCCACTGGGTCTCGGCCAGGGACGCTGCCCAACACCCTACAGTGCCCGGGACAGCCCGGCCAGGAAGAGTGATCTGGCCCGGTGCTAACCATGCCGGGGCTGAGAATCCCGGCCCCGAGCGAACAGGATGAAAGATGAAATTCATGTCAAAACGCCCTACAGAGCACACACCACTGACTACGAAGCTGCTTCAGTAAACTGCATCCTGTCTCACCGCCGGGCCCTGGCCACTGCTGACACCCTCTTGTCATCTCCAGGATGGCCCACGGTAAACAACCCCGCAAAGGGAGGCCGGGGACAGACACTTGGGCTGGGTGGCACCACCCACCCCTTGTGGCCAAGAGTCTGATGCCCAGCTGGGCGGGGAAGGGCTGCTGCCCGCTCCCCTCGGAGCTGCATGTCACCCGGCTGCGGAAAGCCAGACAGCCAGACACACGGACACACGCCCCAGTGTCCCCCACAGCTACCAGCTCCTGGCTCCCCCCAGACCTGCCCGAGACGCTGGCACCGCTGCCGGAGCTCTGGCCCGCCGGCTCGGGGTCTAGCTTCCTGGGCGTGTGTGGCCAGTGCTGATGCCTGTCTCCCCAGGAGACCATCTGGCTCCCCAGCAACCTGCCGGAAAGAGTGTGGGGGCTTCAGCTCCGCTCAAGCTGTCTCCAGGGAGGGAACGCTCGCTGCCTGCTCAGGGGCGGTGGCTCCCGTCCAGACAGGGAGGGCCAGTCTGTGCAAAGAGGAGCGCATCCTCCCGCGGGACACACAGCCCGGCTCTGCCCACCTGAGCCGAGCAGGGGGAGGCGCTGGCACTGCCCCGGCCCTGGATGGTGTTTACCCGTCCAGCCCAGGACATGCTCCCTGGGTGTGTCCAGGCGTGGGCGGGCGGTCTGACAGCCTTGGGCACACCCTGGGAGTCTCTTTGAGGGGGTGAGGGTGCAAGGGGAGCGTTCCTGGTGGGAAGTGGGGCCCCAGGAGTGTGAGCTGAAGTGTGGTCCTGGAAGCCCCTCCCCCCACACCTCCCAAGTGCGGCCTGGCAGGTGCTGCTCCCTTTGTCTGTCCCCAGAATCCAGAGACTCTGCCCTGGAGCAGGTACGAGCCGAGGTCCAGCAGGCTGCAGCCCCCTGTTCCTCTCCCACCGATGTCAAGACAAGAGGAGGAGGAGGCTTGTTAGCAGTGAAGGCGATGGAGGGAGATGCCAGGCCCAGGGTCTGCCTTCCTTGTTCCCACCCCTGCCCTGGGCCTGGGGCATCCTGAGCCCTGCTCTCTCCGTGGGGTGTGGGCAGCCCTTCCCCATGTCCCTCCTGCATCCTTCAGCCCTCCCAGCCACGGAGCAGAAAGCACAGGAGCGGCCCGTGCCCCCAGCAGCCGGGCTCCAAGCTGCTCCCTGTCCCCCGCAGTCCTGCCCAAGGCCTCGGCAGCCTTGGTTTCGAGACGGGGTGATCCTCACTGCCAGGGAAGGGAGTGGCTGGGGGGATGGGCAGAAAGACAGCCCTGCCGGAAGGTGCTCTGCTGGGAGGGAGGCCTGGCTTCAGGGCCTGGTTTCCCTTGCCCTGCAGTGCACGTGGGGCGGTCATCCGGCCCTTCCGGCCTGAGAGGCCTCCAGGTAACCACCACTCTGCACCTGCAGCGTCGGCCAGCCCCAGCTCTCCTCTAGAAAGGGGGTTGTCATCACCTTCCATGGCGGGGGAGGCCGGGGAGGCCAGCAAAGCCGTGAGCTGCATCTCAGGCTCACCACCTCCCTTTCCCTTGGCCCCCGCGCCCCCCAGAGAGCCCCACCCTGTCAGAGAGGTGTCTGATTTTGCCCTTTCTACTTGGAACCCTCCAAAGGCTCCGGACCTCACTCACAGCAATGTGCACCCTCCTGCGGCCTCCCCGGCCCTCCCGCCTCGACCCCCTGTCCTCGGGCTACTCGGCCTCACCCCTGGCCTCCACTGAGTCCTGCACGTCACTGGCCTTGGGTCCTCGAACCTGCTGCCCCAGGGGCCCCTCTCTGTTCTGTAGACTCTGGAAACTTCTGGTGTGGACACCTGTTTAGAGGAGATGACGGCAGAGGGGGCAGGAAAAAGGGGTGCTCTCTGGTGGGGGAAGTGGGGTTCACAGAAGGTTTTCCAAAACTTTTCCTGGGAGAGGCTCCAGGCTGCTCGTGTGCTGGTCGGGTAGACACAGGGGCAGACAGCCGGTGACACAGGTGAGAGGCCGTGGGCTGGGGGTCCAGTCTCTTCAGGCGAGTTGCCCCCCCCAAGCTGGAGCCCAGGGCTCCCCTCCCCCCACACAGCCCACACTGGCTCTGCTCCTTCTGTGCAGCCATTGCGCCTGCTCTGAGACATTTGTCACCCTGATATTCGATCACTTATGTGCAGACCTTGCCCCAAAGACTGAGAGTCCCTAAGTCACCTGCTCCTCTCATCCACTGACCAACCGATTCTGGACCCTATAAAGTTCAACAGCATCTTGGTCCACTTGCAATAAAAAAGAAAGAAAGAAGAAACTGAAAGGCCACAGGCAGCCGAGACATAAAAATTTTCTGAATCGACTGTACTTTAAAAAGTTAGCCTCAAATGTCATTTCATGAATGACATAACTCTAGTCTACACAAACAAAAGCTGAAAAGGTGACTCTGGATTTGTCGGGGCGCTAAAAATAACCACTCTGCCTATTTAACTTTTCTCCAAGTTGTCTGTTTTAGAGCATACATAAACAGAAAGAACCCATTTTTCCATCCTTTCAGTGTTTTTCCAAAGCTTCATACCTCAAGTTGGCACCACACAGTTTAGCCGTAGTTCTTCTTCTTCTTCTTTTTTTTTTTTAAGACAGAGTCTTGTTCTGTGGCCCACGCTGGGAGTGCAGTGGCATCATCACAGCTGCAACCTTGAACTCCTGGGCTCAGGCAATCCTCCTGCCTCGGCCTCCCAAGTAGCTGGGACCACAGGTGCCACCACGCCTGGCTAGTTTTTCTATATTGTTTTAAGTACAGATGGGGTGTCCCTCTTGCTCAGGCTGGTCTCGAACTCCTGGCCTCAAGCTATCTTCCCGCCTCTGCTAGGGCCAGTTATTCTTTAACTGTGTCGTTTTCCTCCTCTCACGTCTCCCTAGCTGGAGTGCAAATGCCCCCGCCGCGCCCAGCGAGACACAGGCCGGGCGTGCAGGGCGCACGTGGGGCACAAGCAGGTCCACTGACACACAGGAAGCCCCGAGGTCACCAATTTACCAGCTTCACATGTCCACACCTTTATGTTCCTTCCTGGAACACAAACCTGTTCTGGGACATGCCCTTCCGTGCCGCACTTGCCTGCCCTACTGGCTCCTAGGCCCACCCCCGACTCTTGCTGGCTGGTCCAAAATAGGCCCCTCTACATAAAATCCTGTTTTGTGCACTATAACCACACCTCCCTCTCCTCCCCGCCCAACAACCCGGCCAAGCGCACTTAAAATCCTAAGGCCTCCCTTAGAAAGAGTCCTCAGTGAGTTTCCCCGAGGCCATCAGTCCACAGGGGACATGGGGGGGGTGGGGCAGGGAATGGCCCCTGCTCCAAAGGGCACGTCCCTTTGCTCAACCCGAGACTAAGCCTCTAAGGGACCCAGGGTGGCCGGGGAGCACGCGTGCGCCCCTCGACAGCCAAGCTGGAGGCTCAGGGCTAGGCGGAGCGCCCCCGAGCGGAGCCAGGGCCCGCGGAGGCCAGGTGCGAGGCGCTGGTCGGGGCCCCCTGCGGCTGGCGGGGCCAGGCCAAGCAGGGCGCAACAAAAGCCGGGCCGGGGAGGGCTGCGAGGCGCGGGCGGCGCTGGCGGGGGGCGGCCGGGAGCGCCCGAGGCCCGCATTGGCCGCCAGCCACCGGGGGCGGAGCCGAGGCGCCTCCGAGCGCAATAAAAGCGCGGCTCGGCCCGCGCCCGCAGCCAACGCGTCCCCGGAGGCACCGCGGAGCGAAACCGGCTGCGGCGCGCTCGCCGCCCCCACCCTTCTTCCTCCGTCCGGTGGCCGCGCCCCCGCCGCTCGCTCGCCGCCCCCGAGACAAAGAGCCCGGAAAGTTCGCGCGGCGAGTGGGCCAGGTGAGGGAGGGCCGCCGCGGAGGCCCCCGAGCCCGCGCCGGCGCCGGGCCGAGCGCGCAGCCCGCGTCCGCCGCCCGGCCGTCCGCAGCCGCCCAGCCGGCGCCGAGGAGCGCCCGGCCCCAGGCGCCGCCCGACCGCCGAGACCCCAGCCCGCCATGGGCGCCGCGGCCCGCAGCCTGCGGCTGGCGCTCGGCCTCCTGCTGCTGGGGACGCTGCTTCGCCCGGCCGACGCCTGCAGCTGCTCCCCGGTGCACCCGCAGCAGGCGTTCTGCAACGCAGACGTAGGTAAGGAGCGGCGCCCGCGCCCGCGGGCCGCCTCCCGCGCCCGGAGACCCAGCCCTCGCCGGCGCCCTCCCGCCGCCCGCGAATCCTGCAAGTGGACGCCCCAATCCTACTTTCTTCCCCCCCTCCCTTCTCTCCCCTGCTTTCCCTCTCTTTGCCGAGATGCTTCGCAACCTCAAAATTCCACCGAAATTCCGCTGCAGCTCCAGCCCCAGAGAAGGGAGCCAGGGAACGAGCGGCGTGGGTCTTGGCAGGCGGCGCGCCCTGCGATGCCAGCTCTGGGGGCGGGGAGCGTGGCGGACACAGCGTGGGGTGAGGTGGGCTGGAGGGCTGGGGACCCCGGGAAGAAACTTTCACAGGTGAGGTTGCAGTTGGGATTCTCTGGGCTTGGGGCCGGGTGGGGAAGGGCGTCTCTCTTGGGGCTTCTCCCAAAAGCCCCATCTGGAGGGGCTCACGGATCCAGCCAGGGCAGCGTGGAAGCCCCCAACCCAGGGCGGCAGGCGAGAAAGGCGGTGGAGTGGTGGAGTCCTGTGGCCTAGCTCCCTGCTTGGGGCCCTGCCCAGAAGGCCCTACAAATGGCTGGGCAGGGGCCAGCACCCCTGAGGGTCTGCTGCCAGTGGCTGTTTTTACAGGACATGGCAAAAACTGGAGACTTCCCAGGTGGGCCCGCGTGGCTGCGTTACCCTCAGGATGCCTGGCCCCCAAAGATGGGCACTAGCGAGTTGGGGGGGAGGAGGGGCCAGTTGTTTGTTCTGATCTGCGGGGGAGGCAGCGGCAGCGCTGGAAGGAGCCAGCTGGCCCAGAGGTTTCCACCCGGGATGACACCTGCAGGCTCCTGGGCCCTGGCGCTGGCGGGCGGTTCTTCCTGGGGCAAATTCGAATACACGGCAGCTGGGGCCCCGACAGCCCCTCTGCCTTCCCTTTCCGTCTGTTTCTGATGGCCGCTGTGTACCCTGTGCCAGGCCAGCAGCCACCGGGCTGGCGTCCGTCACCTGCCCAGAGGGAAGCCAGGGTTTCCCTGTTCCTCCTGTTGTCACACCGCCCCTCAGTTGCCACCTCCCAGGACTTCACGCCCCACCCAGCGAGCTCGTTGAGCTGCCCAGCTCGGGGAGTTTTCAGCTGCCCCCGTCTGTGGGGCTCACGTGGCTCAGGCCACCTGGGCTGAGGGCGTGGTACCCGCCTGCAGACTGGCTTCCCCAGGGCCCGATTTGGGAGCAGTGAGGCCTTTTCTCCAGTTCGGTTGTGGTGCTCGAAAGCTCTGGGGGCAAAGGAGGCTCCTTCAGGGAGGAGACCTGAGTAGGCCTCTGTCGGGGGTGTCCCCTCCCACCCACCCCCCCCAAGAATCCAGCCCTGCACAGCCTCCTTGGCCGGCCGGAGAGCTGTGGGGCAGAATTGAGCCAGGCCCAGAAGGAAACTGAGGCTGGGAGGACTCTGGTTCACAGGAGCCGAGCAGGAAGGAGCTGGGCCTTGGGAGCACCCCTACTGCTCAGCGGCGTGGGGAGCACGTCCAGGCACCCGCTTCTGTTCCTGCCGAGGGTTTGGATCAGGTGGGCGAGGCAGGGGCCGAGCAGCGGTGACGTGTGGCACCAGGCTCCTTCTGCCTTGCGCGGTGCTCCCCCCTGCCTGGATTGCCTGGCGTCGGTGTCCAAAGCATTGCATCAAAATCGCTCTGTAGCTAAAACTTTTAGCCCCGTCTCAGCTCAGAGGCCCGGTCAGATGCCAGAGCTGCACCGCAAAGCCCAGAGCACTGGTTTCCTGTGGCTGCTGTGACAAATCCCCCCAAACCGGGAGGCCTAAAACAACAGGCATTGGTTCCTTCATGGTTTGGGGATGCAGAAACCTGAAATCCAGGTGTTAAGCAGGATTAGGATTGGTTCCTTCCCGATGCCCCAAAGAAGTGCCTCTTTCCAGCTTCTGCGGGCTCCAGGCAGTCCTGGTGTCCTTGGCTTGTGGGAGCCTCTCCCCAGTCTCTGCCTCTGTCTTCACGGGGCCTCCTCTGCCGTGCGTGCCCAAGCTTCCCTCTTGTGAGGACACCGGTCCCTGGATTTGAGGCCCACCCTCATCCAGGATGACCTCACCTTAACTCGATTACGTCAGCAAACAGTTCTGGCTGGACGTGAACTCGAGGGGAGACTACACCCCCCAGTACACCCAGACTGCACTCCAGTTCCCAGTCGCCCCTCCTGTGCCCGGCCAGCTCGGGGCGGGCAGCAGAGGACATGCGGGGGGGGGGGGGCTCTGGAATAACAGTGATGGCAGTGGCCTGTCTCTTCTCCAGTGTTGTATTCTCTTCTAAGCGATGCAGGTTTGGGGCTTAGCAGGGCTTCCTCGTTCTGGCTCCGGGCAGAGTGGCCTTGGAGGGCTCTTGACGAGGACACAGACCTGGGTCCCTTGCAGAGGCTCTAGCACAGACCTCAGCCTTTGCAGCTTCTAGAGCCCCACAGGTGATCTTGCGGGACCGTGGCTGTGGCCCAGGGGTCTTGGGTATACGTTGAGGGTTAATAAAAGCTGACTTTTTATGTGGCGTGCAGGCTTGTTCAGTGGCTTGGTGAGCACAAGAGGCGGTTGGCTCAGGGAGCAGTCAGATTTCTGTCCGCCCGTGTAAGGGCTCCTGGGGGTGGGGGGGAGCGTGTCTCCCTGGTAGCTCCTGCGGCTGTAGGATGAGAGCTGCGGTTGGCAGAGAGAATTCATGACGAGGAGGTTGTGATGTGTAAGACGAAGGGATGGTGAGAGACGATCTGGCTTCTTCCTAGAAGGCCCCAGGTCCCCGTCCTTTCCGGGAGGAACGGGAAGCATTTCGTGTCTCGGTACGACGCCGTTCACGCGCGCTGCGGGCCTGATTCCGCTCACCTAGCGGAGTCCTTCGCCGCCTACCGCGAGCTGCGCGGCTCCAGCGATCTGGCTGGAACCCCGCCGTGGGCTGGCCGGTCAGGCAGTGCCGTGCCCCAGCCCGGGGTTGCTTAGCCAGCTGAGCTGCTTGGCAGACACAGGCAGCCTGGGCCCATTTCTAGAATCGAGGGTAAATCCAGAGAATAAAAACCTTCTCTCCGGCCTGGGTGGCAATGCCCAAAGCCACGTCGTTCTGGAAGTCTCCCCCAGGATGTTCCCACTCCAGAAATTGCTTTCTGCAAACCCCCTGAGGGTCTGTCTCCAGCACCAGCCAGAGAGGGGCCCACAGCCGAGGCCCATGCGCTGGTCCCGGGGCGAGCAGGCCAAGGGTGGCTGGCGTCCCACAGGGCACAGTGAGCGGCCAGACGGGGAGTAGGGTCCACCGCAGAAAACATGCAGCACGCACTCAAAAACGCCTCTGTCTCGGGGACACATGTGCTGGGGTAAGCAAGGCAGCGCCGGATTCCTGCGCGTTGAGTCAGGCCTCCAGGGCAAGGGGCCAGTGCCGCTCTTTGAAGGAGCTGCTGGCAAGTCCCGGGCAGTGCGTGATTGATCCGCATTGCCTGTTTGTACAGCCTGACTGTCGTATCGAGCTCGTCTGTGTTTCAACAAGCAATGATGGGGTGGCCGGCTCTGCCCCTGGGGGGTGTAAAAGGGGGAGGGCCGGTCTCCCTGCCCTCGGAAGGGGAAACTGTACGTGAGGAAGTGGGGTGAAAACTGTGTGGTCGGGGCGCAGGCCGCCTGCAGACCCTCCCTGACGGCCAGGGCGTGGCGTAAAGTAAGTCAGACTCGGCGTGGTTTGGCAAATCGTCGCCGTCGGGTAGACTTCCAGATCAGATAAGCAAAATTCAGAAGTGGCCATGTGACGGCACGCAATGCCTTTGCAGGGTTTGAGGATGGAGGCCCGGATGGCAGGTGGCGGAGAGGACCGTGGGGAAACTGGGGCTCAGTTTTGGATGCCGTCCCTGGAAGGACCTGTCAGGGGAGTGTCCTGGAACCTGGGTGCGTGAGCAGTGCCAGGGTTGGCCGAAGGCCCGGATATTAAGGGAGGAGGCTAAAGTTGTGAGGCCTGGAGTAGTTGCGGGTGGCTGGAAGGAACCCCCCTCCCAAAACAACACGGGCCGTCCCTGTCTGCTGGTATTCTGTCGAGGATGCCCCACCAGCCTGGCGGGGAACCCACTCGGCGCCTCTGAAAATTTGCTTACCCCTTCTGGTGGCCCCAAACGGCTAAGTGATCACAGTCCTTGCCTGTGGGTCCATTGTGCTGCGGGTGGGCGTGGGGGCCTTGCCTCCCTCCTTCCCTGCTTGTCTCTTTTGCTGTTAGATGCTCAGGTAAGATTTGCCCACTGGTGCAGTCCAAGCTCCGCATCCTCTCGCGTGGACCAACTGGAGCCGTGTGGATGGGGGATGTGGAGCGACTCCAGGCTTTACGGGGGAGGGCAGGCAAGCCACCTTAGTCCGGAGGCAGCAAAACCACCAATGCCGCTTGATCAGGGTGGCTGCCTGGTTGCGGGGCGTGAGCCTTTGGGTTCCAAAAAAACAAAATAAAACTAAGGAGATGTGGCTCTGCCAGATCCCAGGCATCTTGGGTGAGGGTGCGAAGAAAACAAGCAGGAGAAAGCAGAAAGCATTGGAGTAAGATGGAGAGAAGGGAAGCCACAGACAGGCAAAGATGTGGCAGAAAGCTGGCTTGCGCGTGTGTGACTCTTTGGTGCCTGCCCTGCGATGCCCCGCTGCTGTGCACACACTCCTCACTCACCAGCGGGAACCCAGCCATCCTCTGTGGCCAGGATGGCGTCTTCTCCAATGAGGGAAAAGTGCGAAATTAAAAATTTCAAATGTTAGCGGCTGGGCTCTCCGCCTACAATCCTAGCCACTTCTGGGAGGCGTTTGGCGGGTTGTGCGCAGCGGATTTCTTGATACATGGTCAGCGAGTTCGGGCATCCGCCTCTGTAAGCAAGAGTGAAGAACCACTCTCTTGCCAAAAAAAAAAAAAGGCAAAAAATTAAGGCCGGCGGCACGGTGGTGCAAACACCTGCCAGTCTCTCCAGCTACTCTAGGGTGAGCTGAGGCGGTTGAGGATCCTCTGAGGGCCCAGGAGTTTGAAGGTTTGG